GTTTTGTGCTAACAACTCTGTATTTCCCATTTGGGTTCCATACCTCAATGGACACCATGAAGTCAACAATACTAGAAAACTGTAAACTGAAATTTCAGTTACTCTTTCATATTATAAATAACATATAGGAATTATTGATGATCTAGTGTGGAATGGTAGAGCATACTAAATTTATTCCTAACCAATAAGATTGATGCATGAGTTTATTACTAAATGACATGATGGGTGTAATTATTGAAGTTGGTTGGGAATAGGATTTTTTGGTCCTCTTAGGATAATGTGAGTTTATGAAATGGATTTGAATACAATGACAAAAATAACCCTTTCAGCTTCTGGCTCTTACAATTTGTGTGGAACTTAGCATAACTATCATATTATTTGGACAAATAAATTATGATAACTCTTTTAAATAACTATAACTCCATCCAACTTATATATCAACCCTACATTAAGGAAAAATCATGACAAGTTTCCTCAACCATAATTTCTCTACACACTTCTCCTTTTTATAAGGAAAATTTGTTGTAATAAATTTTACAATTTTGCAGCCATTCAAATTAAGGTGTATTAGTAAGAGTAGTTTTTGATTTATGTGCCAAGTTGGACCAAAACATTGTGGGGTTGGGTAATGTTCACATTAAGAAGTCGAAACCTATAAATGATTATTGATTTTGAATAGATGAATGAATGGTGCAAATGAACAAAAGCAAGAACTTTATGAGCATTGCAACACAATGTGAATCTCTCTTACGAAAATACTCATCATCAAATTCCCTTTCTCAAACCAAAAAGCTACATGCTTTTATCCTCACTTATGGCCTTCTTTCCTCTTCACGCCTTTCCTCTATACTTGCCACTACCTATGCCCAATGCAACCATGCTTCATATGCCTCATACCTGTTTGATAATTTGCCTCACAGAACTTTATTCTCATGGAACACTATGATGAGGATGAATGTTCAAATCGGTCGCCCCCATGATACCCTCAACTTGTTTGTTGAGATGCTTGCTTCAGGTCACACGAAACCTGATAATTTCACGTATCCGATTGTCATCAAGGCTTGCGCTGACTTGCCGTTCATTCGTATGGGTGTTGGACTTCATGGGCAGACTTTTAAGGGTTGTTTTGATTTGGACACTTTTGTCCAGAACTGTTTGTTGGCGATGTATATGAATGTGGGGGAGAAAGAAGCAGCCCAGTTGGTTTTTGACTTGATGCAGGAACCGACGTTGGTGTCTTGGAATACTATGATTAATGGGTACCTTCGGAATAATTTTTCTGAGGAGGCGTTAAGAGTTTATAGTAGAATGATGGATTTGGGTGTGGAGCCTGATTGTGCAACTATGGTTTCAGTATTGCCAGCTTGTGGGGTTTTAAAGAATGTGGAGCTTGGGAGAGAGGTTCATGTGATAGTTCAAGAGAAGGGATTTTGGGCAAATATGGCAGTTAGGAATGCAATGCTGGACATGTATGTTAAGTGTGGTATGATGAAAGAAGCGCAGTTGTTAGTGAATGAGATGAATGAGAAGGATGTTGTGACATGGACAACTTTGATTGTGGGATACATACTTAATGGTGATGCAAAAAGTGCGCTAATGCTTTGTCCGATGATGCAGCATGAAGGAGTGAAACCAAATTCAGTGAGTATTGTTTCTCTACTGTCAGCATGTGGCAATTTGGTTTCTTTGAATCATGGGAAGTGCTTACATGCATGGGCAATAAGACAATGGCTTGATTCTGAGGTCCATGTGGAAACTGCCTTGATTGATATGTATGCAAAATGCAATCATGGCAATCTCAGTTATAAAGTCTTTATGAAAACCTCCAAAAAGAGAACGGCTCCTTGGAATGCAGTTCTGTCTGGGTTTATACATAATAGGCTTGCCAGAGAAGCAATAAAACTCTTTAAAAAAATGTTAGTGGAAGATGTAAAACCCGATAATACAACCTTTAGTAGTTTTCTTCCTGCATATGCTTTTCTCGCTGACCTCCAACAGGCAACAAACATACATTGTTACCTTATCAAATCGGGATTTCTTTACAGACTTGAAGTAGCAAGTATTCTAGTTGATATATACTCAAAGTGTGGAAGTTTAGGATATGCTCACCAGGTTTTTAATATAATTCCTTTGAAGGACAAGGATATTATTATTTGGAGTGTGATAATTGCCGCTTATGGAAAACATGGTCACGGCGAAATGGCTGTATCACTCTTCAATCAAATGGTACAATCTAGAGTAACACCAAATCGAGTTACTTTTACCTCTGTACTGCATGCTTGCAGCCATGCAGGTTTGGTTGATGAGGGTTTGTCTTTGTTCAAGTCCATGCTTGAACAGCATAAAATAATTCCTCATGTTGATCATTATACTTGCATCATTGATCTTCTTGGCCGTGCTGGTCGACTGAATGATGCTTATAATCTTATTAGAACAATGCCTGTAACACCTAATCATGCTGTATGGGGTGCATTACTTGGTGCTTGTGTGATTCACGAAAACGTTGAACTGGGAGAGGAAGCTTCTAGGTGGACGTTTGAGCTTGAGCCTGAGAATACTGGAAATTATGTTTTATTAGCAAAACTTTATGCGTCTGTAGGAAGGTGGAGAGACGCAGAGAACGTAAGAGATATGGTAAATGAGGTGGGATTAAGAAAGCTCCCAGCTCACAGTTTAATTGATGCCAGAAATATGTGAACTAGACATGTCTTTCTTTTTTTACTTTAATGTTAGCTTTAGCAACATTTGCCCACAAATCCTATCCAAAAATGAGGCATATACCTTTGGGAGGTCCTACAAAATGGCTGTAGGGTATTTCCTTCATGGAGTGGGACCATTATGTTTACTATGACTGGGGAAACTGCTGCTCATTTAGGTCACACATTGTTTCATAAATGTTCAGCATGCAAAGTTCATTGCACAAATTTGGGCTCCTATTTTGTTATACCCCTCTGTTGCTATCCCAACACTGACTATGTCTTCCTACACCTTGTAATGTCAAGGTACCCTTGGACCTGCCATAAGCACTTCTTTTAGTGGTCTCTTGATGAATTGTTGGAAAATTTTGATTCTACCATCTGGTTCATTGAATTACTGAGGAAAATAATCAGTAATCTCATTGTTTGGCTCCTATTGAAGTCATATAAGGAACTCATTTTCTAGGATAAAGTGTTCTGTTGCCAGATTTCCTTTGCAAATTGCATGCCATTATTAATGATTTTGAAACTGCAAGATACATATATAGTGAAGCTAAATAGTAAAGTTTGATATGTATAATGGAATTCTTTGTACAATACGTTTAAATTGGATGCTAATGCATCCTCTTTTGGAAATGCAGGGTTTGTAAAATTGAGTTTTAAGAAGATAACTAGCATATGGAGTAACACATTCATATAGCTATTAGGAAATTAATTTTCATTTCCAACTACCCCCGACATTAAATCATTCTTTCATACTAGTTTTACCAGCAATAACATAACATTAACATTGCCATCTACCCATTTATAAATGGCTTACGATAACAAATAAGGAAATCAGCCACCAATAACCATGGAAAAATCCGTTTAAAGCATCCAAATGACCTGTCGGAGTTTTTTTTCTAAAATATTAATTAATGTTTTTCACATGTCTGTGCAAGTATGAACTGAAAATTGTTGCCAAAACAGTCTCCATAACTTGAAGAAAAATAACAATAATAACCCAACATTTAAAACGAAACTGAAAATGAGTCTCTAAATAGAACTCACTATGATGCAGGGATACCATTAATTGAAATTCATCTTAGACTTAAAAGGAACGTTCTTCATATTTGACATACAAAAGAGGGCCTCCACCATATTTTACAAGTAACACAGTGCATTTGGTAACTTGAAAGTTGTCTGGCTGTTTGGCAAATAATAGAATTAGCTCGGAGTCTTTAATCAGGCATATTATTTGGTGACTCGATAAGCCTGCAAACAAAAAGATCAATTTAGATCATTGGTTAGTATACATACAACGTCGATATGATTGCTTGGCGTATTATTTTAAGATCAAAAGGAGGCTTACCTTGACCCTTTTTAGTAGCTCCTTAGCATCTTTGTCCGTTTTAAAGTGTACCCTCACAGGCTGCATATTTGAAGAAACAATAATTTAGATTGTGCCACATACTGGAAAATAGAAATGAAAGAAAGTCTCACTACATAAATCCAAGCTAATACACAACTACCCTTGCTTTGGATGAGCTCAATGACAAGTCACAAGATGCTATAAGCAACAACATGATACATTATCCCGAGCAGCCAATGCATGAGGATAGCAGCTCTAGTGTCTCACTCTCGTTTCCTCTCACTGGTTGGATCAACTTAATAGATACACCAACAAAGTATTGGTCTAATGGTATAAGGTTCTAATGGATCCCCAAGTATCATACTACTAGACCAAAAGTCAAAGATTCAATTTCTGATTATGACACTTGTTGGGAGGAGACAGTCACACATCTCCGAAAGGGATTAATTCCTTACCCTTGGTTATACAAAAAAACTTAATTTAGCCATGAATATACTAAATGAAGCAGATGAAAAGTCTCTTGAAACCAAGTAAGGATCTCATGGTTTGTACACACAAATGCAGAAGGTATGGAGTTAAAATCTGCAACACTGCGAGTTATCCTCTATTGTTAGCCCAATTGAAGACTGATTACTGATTAGAATATTAATTCTATTGATTAATCAACAGTGATTGGAGTAAACATTTAGTAGAGTTTTATTCTTAGATTATTATCTATGCTAGTGTTATTACTTTCATAAGGTTTCTAGAAATGGAACTATACTTGTTTTTTGCACTTTTTATTTGAATTGTGTAGGAGATAAAGATATATTATTTTTTTAAAGATTAGTCAGCATATTAGTATAAAAAGGGTGGCCCAGTCCATAACTCTCCCAACTGGTGGGATTTGGGAAAGGTAAAGATGTACACATTCTTGCTCTCGCAAGCGAAAAGACTATTTGTTTCCAGGACATCTATTGCAACACGACGACTTCCCAAGAGTTCACTCATCTTAATAGTACTCTCCCATAAACATACTTAACTATGGAGTTCTGATGGGATTCAGAGCATGAGTGCTAGTATGATCACACCTCTTGCAGCATATTAATATATGTATCAGAAATTCAAATTCAAAACCCTTCTGAAAAATTGTATGAATGCAAAGAAAGAACACTGTCAACCTAGTAGACATAGTTGAAAGTGTGCCTTTATAACAGAGGGAAGAGAATACAGGATGCAAAAACATTATCAGAAAAATCACCTCCAGAATTTTATTCAATGACTTTGACAAAGCTGATTTAAGATCAGCTGGATGCAACTCCCCACTTTCATAGTCGGCAGCCAGCTCTTCAAAGTTTTTGAATGTCCTAGATTTAATGGAGCATAAGTACATATCAACCAAATAATTTAGAGCAGAAAACCATAGTTAGAAACAGACTTAATGATGCCTCTAGAATGATTCAAGAAATTACAACTTTTAAACAAAAATGTGAAGTTTCAATAGCCCAATCATCAACATTTGACCACTGACTATTAAAGGATGAGGTAGAAAACTTACTTATCTCCACCATTAGCAGCACCGCGCTCCACTTTAAACTCATTAAACCATGGTAAGATAAGATATTTAACGTACTCCAAGCATGGGTTTTTTCCTACAACTTTCGGCGGGCAAAAGGCTTTCTTTATTTTCAGATTCACTTCAGCCTATGGTGATCCAAATATAAAGTTGAACAGTCAGAATAGAAGTTTAAAAAAAAGGAAAATTACAAAAGGATCAAAATATTTAAAATGAAGGAGAAAGCCACAATTTTAGACATAATAGCAACTTTATTCCTTCCAACATGTTCCCTTTTTATAATTTTGCAATTTTAACAAATATGAAAATAAAAATATTCTCTTGACTGTCCTTATGTTCAACACAGAATGCAACTAGAAGACAATTGATCTTCACTTTTGCACATGGCAATTTAAGCCTCTTATTTCATTCTACCTTTTGTTATAAAAGAAGAATTTATTGAGAGAATAGAATAAAACCCTAAATTTAATACATTGAGCAGCAACTTACCTCTTCATCTTCCATGAAAATGGAAGATAATGGGTCACTTTTTGACATCTTTTCTTGCCCCTCCTGTAGACCAGGTAGCATGTCTGCAAATCACACCGGAAACATTAGTAAGAGAAATACACAGCTTCAATATACATCAATCTAAAGAGTAAAATTTGGGGAATACGGTGTGACAAGATAATGGGTTTGTTCTTCCTCTTAATGTCATCGCAATACTCCCTGGCAAGGACATTCACTTTTCGTTGATCCATTCCCAATTGGCAGATGTCAGCCTATTTTAACATAAAAATAATCACACATCAATGTACTTTTGGACAGTTCCCTATAGTAAAATAATGTATACAAAAGTTATACAAGAAATGATGCAAGGATCCATATATAGCAAACAACAGAAATGCACCTTAAGGAAAAATATGTCAGCACATTGCATGCATGGATAGAATATCTGAGCAGCAGTCAGTTCTTCAGTTTCACTTCGTCCCATTATTTGGCTACACCTATAATTCAGGGGGAAAGCAAAACATGAGACAAGATTTTAAGTACATATTCACCATTTAATAAATATGTATATCATATAAAAGCATTTGAAGAAAGAAAACAAAAAGAACCTGATGATCCTTTTAAGGTTGTTCTTCTGAGCTATATCCAGCACAAGAGGCCAATATTCATCAGCTCTTGAATTAATCTCCTTCGATGACCACAAAAACTCAACTTTTCCTCCTTCCAAATCCATCCCAACGGCTTTCCATATCTCAATCAAGTAACGACCAACTGTCTCAATCTTCTTCAGATCTCCCCCCATCTTATTGTTTAGCTTGGCAAACCAATCAGCAATCCATATTTTGACGCGGCAACCAGAGGATATTAACTTATTCACATTGATTGTTTTCATGACTCCCTATATATAACTAATAGAATGTAAGCCAAACAAAATTTTAAATATTCAGTTCGCCTCAGGAATAAACTATTCATTATCTATCTGCACTAGTTTATAATTTTGCTTCTTCCATTTTCTACAAATAATAATATCAATTCTCAACAATTTTAAAAGAGAATTCAGTTTGACCATATAGATCAATTCATTATTCTCAATGGAGATTAATATGAAATAAAAAAGGAAAAGACCTGAGCAATGTGCATTCGACCAGAGGGTTCAAAGCCATCATAGCAAACTGGTTCGGGCTTCTTAGCGAGCAGGTTGCGGAGTTCTTCATCTTGAATGCACTCTTCCCCAATACTCCTTATGATTTGAAACCTCTGCTCCAAACTCAGCCTAATACATAAAAATGAAATGAATGAAATTGAAACTCTAAACCCTAACAGAGTGAATGATGAAGAGCACAACTTACTCATGATTCGAATTTGAATTGGATGATTCCACAGTTGATTCAATAGCTTCTGTGGCTGAAGCTGCATTTGGTTGCTCCATTGGTGATTTTCACTGTTTATAATATTTCAATAATTTTCACTTATAGAAGATATCACATATTCAATAGCTTCTGATATGCATTTTTGTATAATGTAAGAAGTGTGAGATGTAAAAATATATTGAATTGAATAATGTCATAACATAAACAAGTGAATGATGAAGAACCAAAGCACAAAAACGTTAGAATTTGGGGAAGTAAGAGAGAATAGCATGCATGATCAAGGAAATTGAAAGAGTAAAAGAAACAATAATAATAATAATAATAAAGGAGAAGAGAAATACGTAGGTGTGGGTTGGTAGTAGTAAGATCGGAAGAGGGTGGTGGTATTTTAAGTGGCGCCGCCTCCTTCAGTGAAGTGAAAAATATTAAATGGAAACGACAATGGTAGGTTTAGGTTGAGTTGATGGTTACACTGTTTTTTAATTTATTTGAGTTTAATATTATTGATGTAATAGCAATGGAGTGAAACTTCTCTCTCACAAAATAAAATAATATAAATTTTCCTCATGCTAGATGCTACCCAGTTCTTTTCTTCTCTATATCTTTTTATTATACATATTGTTTTAATTTCAAATAGTAATAGTAAATCCAAGCATTTCAATTAGACTTGCACCACTTTTAATAATAGTATTGAACAAATACTGATATCAACAAATCGCTCATTCTTCATCTCAATAGTTTTTCTTTCAAATAAATAATCAAATCAAAATATCACACATATGATTAGTAATTATAAGATTCCCATAGATTTAATAGTAAAGTAAACCAATCTGTGCAATTAACTAATCACGGGGATAGATTATTCCTTCAAATATTTCAACTTTAAACTACATCCAAAATACATTTTACCCACAAAATGGATTGGAAATTGATATTTCATACAAAATATAAGGATGCAAAGTATTTTTATCTTAGCACATGAACTAAGTAGTTTTAGCCTTTGAAAACATGAACCTTAAACACTATATCTTCTGTGTTAATGAGTTCAAAGATGCAAACATCTCCAGGATGCAACTCACTTTCACTTGCAAACAAGCACCAACCAGCAGAGAAGCGTCGGCGACATGCAGAATTGTTAGAACCCAGCAACTTCACTTTCCACGATCTTTCTCCATGTTCTAATGTTACATTCATGTTCTTTTTCTCAATATAACCATCCATATTTGGTACACTCTGCATTATAATATATGATAATTAACATAAGATTTCATGAATGTAAATGTTCCACTATATTATACTAAGGTTTTAATCATACCAGACGGCTTTCAACCACATCAATAGGCTTCATAGTTTTAGTGAAGAAAGGATTATCTGATTCCGACACGAATTTCTTAGCTAATACTTGTGCTCTAGGTTCTCTTGGCCAATTCATTGATAAACTTGTAGGAGTAGCCTCCTCACCTGTGTAAACGTAAACCAAACAAGTTCTACCCAAGTAAATACTTCAATATATGCTTTCTCATTTCTTCACCATCATGGAAACTTTCAACTTGCATGTTTACGGTGTCAAACCTAGCTTTTATTACAGTGCAGTTGTATTGAAATTGTAAAAATACCCTCTTGCAGTTATATTATGGTGTTATATCCCAAAATACGCGCTATTCATTTACATGTAAATCTAGCATAGTGAGAAACACTCAGCACAACTCAAACAATAGTATAATTTTATACAATTATTGGACAACATTTGATGCCCTTTGAAAAAAAAATGTATTTTTGGACTAATTATATGCATAATAAACTGATAAAAGATTAAAAAGTAGGTGAGGGATGAAAAGAAACATGGAAAAAGTTAAATACAACATTCAAATTTTAATGTACAAATAATAGGAGTCATACAACTATGGAATATGAAATGTGTGATAAAAAGTTACACAAAGCAATATCTATGAAATGAAGAAAAAGATAATGAAATCTCATACCTTTCCTTTTCTTACTTGATTGAGCAGAAGCCAAAGGTATTGGTGACCTTTCACTAGCCTTGTGGTTTTCCCAGTCATTCAAAATTCTAACGGATTCATGAACACTATCATCAAGGTTCTGTTCTTCTTTACAAGTATGATAGGAAGGGTATTCTATTTCAAGGCTACTATTGTCAAGTATGTTTACATCAAAGTGGGAAGTTCCTTCATATTTAAACATCACCAAAACCCCATGATATAGAGAGTAGTTTTCAGTAAACTCTTTCCAACCCTTTTCCAACCAAAACTCATCATTCTTTTTGATCCAATGCACTTTCCATTCAGTGCCATCTGGAGGCTTCAAAAACACTGGATTTGACATACCACCTCCATATATCTTTGTGAACTTGTTAGGTATTTTCTATGAAGAACTTGTTGGTTAGTATTCAACAACACACAAAAAGAGTCATGTTCCTACTAAAAATACAACAAAGTTCAGTCTAAGATGAATAGTAAATATATTTTGATGTGATATCTTCATGTATGGCTCTATACATTTAGAAGTGAATAAGGAATGCTTACAATTTTTTGTAGATTGGTTTTAAGAATAAACTTGAAGAAGCGGATAGGAAGAATATGATCCCCTCTGCTATGATGAGCATCCATGGATTGAGTATGAAATTTGGA